GATTGAAATTATGGAGTGAAAAAGAAGAAGAAAAAAAATAATTGAAATTTGGAGAAGAATATGAAGATATTTGAATAAGAAGACATATAATTGATTAGGGTGTACCATAAGAAAAAAATAATATTTTATTTTAATATTTAATATATTATGTCTTTATTAGTAAATTCATATTAGGTATAATAGGAATTAAAATTTTAAAATTTAAGTTGGACGTACTGAGATAATTTTTGAGTTCAAATAGAATGGTTCGGAGTTCGGTTGGACTATCAATCCAACATATGTTAGACTATTGCATCCTAGAGGGGCATAAGATAGAATTGGTGGGATAACTATCCCATGAGATTAAAAGATAAAATGACATATTTGTTCTCCAAGTATTTGATTTAATTATGTATTATATTTTAATGGTAAATTTTTATTGATGTTTTATTTAATTTTATTATTTTTTAAAATAAATTTATTAAAATTTGATTTTGAAAAATAACATATATTTTATTGATATTTTATTTATTTAATTAAAAAACTATTTAATTTTTAAAAAATAAAATAAAATAAAATTTTATTTATTCTAGCCAAAAAGAATTAAAATGTTAAAAACGGGTTTAATATTGCTATAACTTACTAAATAATTGAAAATGGTAAAATAATCTTTTAGTATTTATCATTCTTCATAATATCCTAATCAAACATTGGATTCAATAAGATAGTCATTTCCAGACATCTAATTCCATAAAGAAAAAAAAAAACGTGGGATACTTGAATAATAATAAATAAATAAATATGGGATACATATCATTTCCAACCAAATAGTTTAGAAATTTTGTATCCCATAATTAATAGTCCGGTGAATTATAATCTTTCTTATCTAGTCCGTTTAAACAAACATATAGTCAGGATATATTTAATTATTGAGACAAGACAATTGATGTAATTATTGAGTCGGAGAGGGTTAGATTAACAATAATATTATAATATTCACATTTTTATATCATATTTAATGGATCATATGAATTGCCATCATTAAATTAATTTAATGAGTTCCAATACTAGTGTATGTTTCTAATATGTATAATGAATTAAATGTGATATGGAAATATAATCATTATAACATTATAACTTGATAAAAGAAAGTAAATTACATTTCTTTAAAATATATGTTAGAATAATGTATAGAGAAAGGGAGAGAGAATACATTGTGTATACATCTTATATATTGAATGTTCAATTAGCTCTCCTTTATGAAGGAGAGGATGAACAAAAGTAGCCGAAAGTATGAGGGGATAGCATTAATAAAGTAAATTATCAGCTAAGCATACACTAACTAACAACTAATATACTCTAACATCCCCCCTCAAACTCAATGAGGATAGGCACAAACCAACTTGAGTTTGGAAAGAGTAACTAAACGTGAAAATAAACTAAAAATAAAATAAAATAGGAGACACTATATGGTCATGGCAAACCGATGTAGACGACATTGTATGGTCGTGTCAGACCGGTGTAGAAGACACTGCATGGTCGTGTCAGACCGTTGTAGAAACACTGTATGATTGTGGTAGACCGTTGTAGAAGACACTGTGTGGTCCGTTTCAGCTCTTTATTTTTCGCTTTCAGTGTGCTAATCTCTGCTCGCGCATCCTTGTACATGCGTTGGAGCAGAGAGAGTTGGGCATTTAATTGGTGTACCTCACTAGTTCTATGCTGCAGCTGGTGCAACAATTTGGAGACCGCAGTCATTGTCTCCATACAAGACTTCAGCATATAGTGGTTGGCTTTAATGTTAGTTTAAGCTACCATTATTTGCTCAACTGACAGTATCGGAAAGTTCAACGGAGCAGGGGCAGGGGCACTCTGTCCCGAAGCGCTTATAGGATCATTAAGGTCTGGAAAAATGGAGCAAGAGCCGTGGCGGTTCTTGCAATGTCTCCTCGAGAAGCAACCGTTGTCGGACTGGAGAAGACACTATGTGGTCGTGTCGATATACATACAAAGATATACAGAGATATATATATATATATCGCCTTCGAAAGTTGCGCCGGACACACGACTTCGAGCGTTGTGTCTAGCACGCGATTCACGTGACCAATAGAGCATCGTTCTGCCTCGGCTCTCACTCCCTCTTTGTCGTCTTTGTCTCTTCGTTCTTTTTTTAAACCGAGGCCTGTGAGAGAGGCAGAGAAAAAAGTTACGAACCACTCGGCAACCCCTTTCACTTGCATCCTCTGCATCCTCTAACATGGCCTCTTCCCGTGGTTCTCTCACCTTCTTTCTAGACCTTAATGATCCTATAAGCGCTCCGGGACAGAGTGCCCCTGCCCCTGCTCCATTGAACCTTCCGACACTGTCAGTTGAGCAAATAATGGCAGCTCAAACTGACATTGAAGCCAACCACTATACGATGAAGTCTTGTATGGAAATAGTGACTGTGATCTCCAAGTTATCGCACCAGTTGCAGAATAGAACTAGTGAGGTACACCAGTTAAATGCCCAACTCTCTCTGCTCCAGCGCATGTACAAGGATGCGCGAGCAGAGATTAGCACACTGAAGGCGGAAAATAAAGAGCTGAAATGGAAGGCCACAGTCATGGTCCGATTTGAAATTTCGCCGTACTCTGCGTTTGATGAACAGCGGGGCGGCAACTCGCTCGGCGGTCTTGGAAGCACTGAGGCAGGGCCGTCAAGGGTCGCCCAAGACGAAAGCAAGAGGAAGAGATCGGCGGCAGAGTCGAATAAGTGAGGTCGGCATGTGGCCGTCATCGAAAAAGAAAACAAATCCCTTGTGGTTGTTGTGGTTGTTGTGGTTGTTGGTTTTTGTTGTTGTTGTTGTTGTTTGTTTTTTTTTTTTTTTTGTGTGTTGTGTTGGGGCACCCATAGCTTCAACTCTCTAATGTAGAACTTTGAACGGGGTTGATCCTCGACATGAATAAAACGAGTTTGTTGTGCAAATTCGGATGGCATGAATGGTACAAGACGGAGCAGAAAAATGAGGTGGTGTATAATTTTATTTTTTTATTTTATTTTTTTTAGTGAGAACAAGTCCAGGTTATACAAGAAATAAAATAAAGAAATGATGGAAAGAAAGGTGATGGTAGAGTGGAAAAGTAAGATAAGAAAGGTGACCTGGGTGGTGGAAAGAAAAAAAAGAATGAAGTATGTTGATGGAAAAAGAAAGATATAAAAGGAAATAAAGTTGAGGTAGTGGGAACAGGGAATCTGGAAAGGGGCTTACCATCTGAGCTTTATAATAATGAAAGGAGTAATGCAACGTATCATAAAAAAAATATCATGAATTTGATCATGAAAGATTTTTTACTGTTAGATTACACATGTAAGATAACACCACACACTAATTAAGGGATGAAAAATCTTGATAAAGCATTTCATGATATTTTTTTCATAATCCCTAATATTACTCCATCTTATGCATTGAATGTTTAGTTAGCTCTCTTTTATAGAGGATGAACAAAAGTAGCCGAAAGTATGAGGGGACAGCATTAATAAAGTAAATGGAGCATACACTAACTACAGCTAAGCATACACTAATTAACAACTAATATACTCTAACAATATAGATGAATTCTTACTTGTTATTTGCACTTACAAAACTTAAAGTATATCTATTTTTAAAAATTTTATTTTTAAGTATTGTATGACCAATGCACGAAGGGTCATTTTAAGTAAATGAGTCCGTCAAGCTGTCGGATCCGAACTTTTTTGAAAAAATAAACTTGAATAACTTGTGTGTTTGGTTTGTGTTTGTAGAATAATTTTTTAAATAAAAAGTACGAAAATTTGTTTAATTTGCCTTTTTTCAGAAATGACTTTGGAAAATTGTTTTGGAGAAAAAGTTTTAAAAAAAGTGATTGATTTGATGTGTATGAGAGAGAGTGATTTTGAAAAGTAAATAACTAAACAAAATTTTGAGATTTTTTTTAAAAAAATTTGTTTGGTTTAATTACTCTTGAAAATTTATTTATAGAGAATTTTTCCCAAAAACTTTTCTGAAAAACAAACCAAACAAGGCTGTTTTTATAAAAGAGTCATCATTTTCTATTCAGAAGGTCATGTCATTTATAATCTCAGTATATTTCAAACGCTGGAAGACCTTGCCTTGTTGACTCTAATAATTTCAAAAAAATTATTTCCTTTCTAACCTTCCAAAGCTTAACTCACATCCACCCCCTACCATCTCCTCCACCACAACATCGGACTATCACCCCCACCCTTTTTTCTTCTTCTAAACACCACCCACTCCACACCCTTCTTCTCATTTTTTGTTATTTAGCTTTTTATTTTCTTCTACCACCTATTCAAATTTATCTTTTGCATAGATTTATGATTTTGGAAAAAGGAGGCGTTGCTGTTTTGGGGAGGGTAGGGGCGAATGTGAGTGTCAACACAACGAAAAGGAGACAGAATAATTAGCGACATGTTAAAATGCCACTAGCAATGTCAAGAGTAAAACTATTAAACAAACCAAACTTGAACATAATTTTAAACTTGTTAAATCTTCAAGCCAAATTTAAATAAACTGTTACTCGGTTTGATAAGATTATATGTACTATAAAAAATCAAGCTACTTTGGCTTGTTAAAAACACGTTCGAGATAAACTCATTACGTAAACAAACCCAACTTAAACAATCTACTACTTGGCTTAGCTTGCCACGTTTTCAGCCCTAGTTGGGACTGGTTGGAAAGGAGAAGGCTAGGGGTAGTGGTAAGGGAGGTGGCCGATAGGTAGGGAGGGATGTGGGGTGCACTTAAATTTACCTCCTCCGCCACTACCATCACCACTCCCATCACCACTCCACCACCCACAACCATTCTTCATTTGCTACCACTCAGATTCCCCATCACCCACCTTCATCTGTGTTGGGTCGCCACCACCTTCCACCCCACTCCCTTTCTCACATCTAGGCCACTTTCCCCATTACAAAAACCATTCATGACTAGCCTCAATTTCTCTATGCTTGCCAAGCCAATGTCAACCACTTAATACTTTTAGATTTTGAATTTTCAAATATAGGCCAAGATCTACAAAGATTTTGTTGAGCTCTTAAAAATAATTTAGCTGGACATACACAGTATTATGAGGGTACTGAGACCATACATCAATAGTAATAAATTAATTAAATATAATGAACAAAAATTTGCATAAACTAAAGCAAAAGAGCACAATACTAAAGCCAAAAAGAAAAAGAAAAAAAAAAGAAAAAGGAATAAGACACTCTTGGTCTAGGGTTCTTCATCTCTTTGTAGAGTAATTATCTAGTATCTGCTTCACATATCCACAACCATAGCTTCCACTGGAATGCTAGTATTCTGAACTTCAAATAAAGATGCCAACAACACTTGATTGAAAGTCTCATTGCATCGGTCATGTGTCTCAAATCATTACTGTGCGATTCTCGAGATAAATCACTCCCTCTGCATTAATCAAGTAGAAAATATAATTTCAGAAGAATGAAAATTCATAGCAGCTGGCACTTAAAAAGTGCATTTTTGTTTTATTTTTTGGCTGCTGCTGGTGGTGCAATGGTTAACACTGGCATTCAAAATCATAAGCTGATGTTTTCTGCATTTTCTGGTGACAAGACTATTTTCCAAAAATTAAGACACAACATGGTAACAACACAACTATAAACAAATACATATTTTGCGTATAAAGATGAAAAAAACAACAATTTCTTCATTTTTTTATATTACAAATACATCTATAATTAATTATATCAAAACAGCAGCAAATCATTTTTACAAATTCTACATATTGACTAAGAAGTTTGAACAAAAAGTCCTAATATCTATTTTAGATAAACTCTATTAACAAATAAATCAAAAGTTCTAAGCTTTAGAAATCTCGTTTAAATCCTAAAAGTCAAAAAGCATAGACATGACAGGTTAAATAGGTATAAATCCATATTATTTAGAATTTAACAATTGGTTTCCAACTTCTTGTGTGTTTTACATCCTTCGGTGTATCCAAAGAAAAAAGAAATAAATAAATTTGACACTCTACATGGCGTCTGACACATCTTGGTGTGTTCGAGGCGTGTCTATGTCCAACAGTGTCAAACATGTATACATCAACTTAAATGAAGTGTCCATAGTATAACTTTAAAAATAATGAAAAATTAAAACTCATTCTACATGAAAAAGCATTTAAGTTCTACTGTGGACAATTAATGAGTTTTAATTTTTCATTATTTTTAGTTGTTTGTGAATGTCAATTAACAATTAAAACATATGTATAAATATATTTTTTTTTCATATTCTCATCGTGCAGGTATATCTTAATTTTAAGAAAATGTTGTTTGTATTTGTGCTTCTTAGTTTATAACTAATAGGACACAATTGAACGGGTCATGCAGTGTCTGACGAATGCCAATGCCCGACATGAATACATACCTTTGTACAAGTGTGTGCTTCTTACCCTTAGCACAAAACACTTCGTCTTGGGGTGTCCCAACCACATGTTTCCAACCTTGTTCGATGCCCATATACTATTTTGGTGCCTTCAATATCATCAATGTGCCTCTTTCCTTTCTCAATCACAGGCTTCCCTAAGTACCCTCTACACCCAAACTTCTACCACCACCGCATTAGAGACCCAATCCGATGGACCCTTACCACGTGTCCCTCCTCCCATCACAAATCTTGAATTGCCCAAGCTATACCCCATATTAAAATTGAATTTGATACAATCCATCCTACTTCTAGATACCCCTCCACCAAGGTATCCTTTAGTTCCACAGCCATATGCTTCTGGCTTGTCTGAACATCATGTGGCACCTCTTCTTTTTTTATTAGTAACAAAGAATTTTTTTTATTAAAAAGATTAGGGTGAAAAAGAGATGAAAAAGACAAGGCATCCGAGAAATCTACCAAGTAAGAGAAATAAAAAAATAAAAAAAATAATTAAAAAAAAACTACAAAATTACATATTACACAAAACTTCAAAAAGTAGCAAATTTTACCCAATAAGCCCCCTATGTCTTCCAATTTGTCTTCAAACACTCTTTGAGTTGCTTTGCAACCAAAATTAACCATATAACCACAAATTACACAGCACCAAAGAACCCGAGCTTTAGGATTAGAACCAAAACCCATTAATTCAATACAAAGCAAATCAATACAAGAAGAATGTATCACCCATTCCACCTCTGCTGCATAAATATACCCTCCTCCACCATTGGGCCAAAGCCACTGAACGACGTAAAAATAATAACTATTTTCCTCTCCGTCTTACATACACACTATTGAGGATGCAAGTGTAAACAACAATTCGGCCTCCTCCCGAATCATGTCATTAGTATTAAGTTTCTTATGAGCCATGGTCCAAGCAAATACTTTAACCTTAAGTGGCATATTTGCTTTCCAAATCAATTTATGAGAGACAAAGATGAGAACATCTGAATTATCACAAGATTTACCACAAAAAAAAAGACAAAAAGGGAAGAGAGAACCCAAATGAAGAGACCACACCCTTTATCACTAACTTGAGTAACCAAAAAACCCTCCTCACGAATAGATATTGAGGCCTCGTTTGGAAACAGACTTTTTTAGTAACTTTTTGGCTTTTTGGCTAAAATGTGATGTAAAAAAAACTAATATGTTTGGGATGACTTTTTGGCTTTTTACAAAAAGATGTGCAAAAAGTAGAGAGAAAAGGGAATCTTTGACTTTTTTGTATGAATTGTTGGCTTTTTTATTTTTTTAGTAATTTTTTGGCTTTTTAGCTAAAAGGGACACTTGCCAAACAAGGCCTAAATAAGCTAAGAAGCACAGACACTATTAAGGTGTCTGACACTTCCCGACAATCAATTGGACACTGATTGTCATTTGTTGAACACATGTCTAAACGTGTCGTTTTATTTTTTCTAAAATTTTTGAACTTGGACAGACGTGTCCAATCCTTAAACACACGTGGAACTCATTACAAGTTCAAAAAAAAAGAAAAAAAAAAAACTTCAGAATCTAATGAAAAAAGAAAAATAAAGTAGATTTCTAACTATTAATCCATCATTCTTTAAACTTTAAAAATTGGTTATGTTAATTAACTTTGAACGTAATATTCATATATATGATATATAATAAATATACAAAACCCTATATTTTGTGTGTCCTGCACGCATCATGTGCTGTATTTTTTATTTTTTATTTTTAAATTGCCGCATTGGCATTTCCATGTTGTGCTCATGCCATTTCACTTGTCGTACTTTCAACTAGAGAAGCAAATTCGTTAGCCTCACGATCTTTAAGACTCCTTAAGAAACGAAAATTCCACTAAATCAAAGAACGAGATAAAACCACAGAAGCAATCGAGGCATCATAGAATTGAGATAAACAATACAAACAAGGACCCAATTAGCAAATGAACATACTCTCCATTTCCCACATTAAGTCGAGCGTATTGGGAAAAACATGCAAAATTTTGAGAAATGCAGTTCCACAGAGATCAGTAATTCCCCAAACAACCCACCCAAGAGTTCTCAACCATTAACTTGAAGCCCATACTCTTAATGACAACATGCCATAGGGAATCGCGTTGCCATGGAAAACCATCCCAACTAATCAAGTGTTTAATCCCATAAAAACTCCCTTAGCACTTTTTTTTTCTTTCAAACTATTCTCCACACTCACTGAAACTTTAAACAAAGATAAATAATAAATGAGAATGCTTGCCAAAACTGATTGAACCTAAGCGGATCTATGTCCTTTCAAAATCAAAGCTTTTTTCATCAATCATATCTTTTATCCAAAACAAAAGCCATAAAAATTTGACTTTGAATTACCTCCCAAAGGAAGCACTAGATACTTCATTGGATCCAGGCACAACCAAAAAGCCTATCCAGACATTGTAATCTTTACGTTGCGAAATTAAACTCTAAATGGAACTCTTATTTATATTTATCTTCCACCCAGAAACCAACACAAACACTCCTAACAAATAAATCAAATTTACCATTTTAGACTCGTCACCAAAAGAGAAAAACATGGTATCATTTGTAAACTATAAATAATATAAAGAAACACAATCCTTACCCACCACAAAACCATCCGCGATTCCCACCGTTTTTAGCTCTATCCACTAGACGACACCAGACATACCACTACTAAAATTTTTTGGAGTCAAAAAGCAAAAAAAGCAAAAAATGAAGAGGTTAAAATAAGGGCATAGTAATTCTGAGTTGTTTGACAGGGTTGCAAATATAAGAAAACTCTTTGACGTCGTATCATCATTTAATTGCAAGACCACCTCAACACCTCTCACCTATGGCATTAAAAGCTGCATCATTCCAGAAGTGTAGGTAAGGCCTAAGACGCGAACACAGACCTACATGGGACCAGCTGTTGGCATAAAGCAACACCCAAACGACGACAACCAATTGTTCACCCAAGATTGGCCATCCTGCATCTCTTGAACCTCTGCACATTGCAAATAACTTGCCACCTCAGCGCATGATGATTTTTAGTGTCACAGTCCCCAGTCTGTCTATATGACTATTGAGGGGTTATCTGGCCACTGCTACAACAACACAAACTCTAGGAAAGATCTAGAACTCTACAACCTGACCGAGCAGCAAAGCTTCCAAAAAAACTTTGAAACTCTAGCCACTTCCAACCATCCTCCCACCACAATTTAGCAGATTCAAAATTCCACCAACCGACCAACACCAAACAACATTTCAAAAAATTCTCACCCCAGCTTCTCTTCGAGACATCAACAAGCTCAAAACTAAGAAAAATGACTGATCAACGTATTCACAGCCCCTTTCAAGCATGCCTCCCTTATTTGAGACTGACAAGGAGAAACAAAACTTTTGAAAATTTTAGTGCAATGCCAGCCACTTCCATTTGTACAACTAATTATTAACCAATAGGAGCAGATCCATTGCACAGTATAAAGAGTACTAGGCATCGAAGTAAATCTCAAAGAAAAAGAGATTTTCCAACAATTAACTTACCCAACTAACTCTACATGCGCGTGTATAATGTTTTATTTTTATGTAGCTGGTCCCAAGGCCAGATAGAGAAGGTTTGGGTTAGGTAGCTGACAAACAATGTAAAACTTTGATAGAACCCTTACGATGTAGCACTTGTACCCTTTTAAAACTTTTGAGAAGTGTATTTGAATCCTTTATTTTATTTTGGAGATCTTTAGTGTTGTTGTATTTTGGTTTTGGGTGAGTGAAAATCAATTTAAACTTGTTGGGTTTCATTGTTCGCACTTGTTCTTGTTAAAAGTTCCTTGGAAACTTAGAAAATTCTATTCTGGGGTCAACACCAGCCTTCCTAAGGGTCGATCCTTACCTGTTAGTGAAGTTTCTGGAAGTGTTGCATGAAAATAGGGTAGACACCAGTCTGGAGAGGGTCAACCCTCTTATGTTGCAAAATTTGTGTGTTAGTTGCTAGAATATAGGGTCAACCCCCTCTTGTCTAAGGGTCGACCCCCCTTGCTTGTGCCAGATTGTTTTTTCTACCTAAGGGGTCGACCCCCTTACCCGAAGGGTCGACCCCTGCGTGTTTTTTTTCAGATTTTGGGATTCGAATGGACCCTACCCTTGGGGGTTTTGGGGCTTATGATTTTATTTGACCTTAGAGCAATTTGCTACTAGTATAAATAGACCCAAACCACTTTCCTCTCATTACTTTTTCTCCTCTTTTCCTCTCGACCCGTGATTTCTCTCCTCTCTCTAAAACTTATCTTTTCACACTTAGATCTTCAGATCTACACACCTAGAGCCATCTTTTCACCTTAGTCCTTTGAGAAAGGTTGTAAATCTTGTCAAGGGCTTTCTATTGATCCAAGTAGTTCGTGGTTTCGTCGCCGGTGATTTTTGGGTTGTTTTCTCTTCACTTCAAGAGGTAGGGATTTCTTTGTTCCTTTCCAATACTTTGTCTATAGATAGACATGTGGTAAATTTTATTGCATAAAAACCATATTCATTATGGATTTTCTTGAAAGGCATGAAAGGGGATCTAGGGTTTGATATTTGTGATTGGAGTTGTTAAGTTGTTTGTTGTTGGATTGTTTGGGAAAAATGATTTATTATATTTGTGAAGAGAGGGAGGAAAGCCTTAATGTAATGTTATTGAGTTAATGGATTTAAAAGGGAGGAAGTTGAATAATCCTTGTATTTTGCTAATATGGGTTGTATAATTATGTTTATACCAAAAGGAAATAAAAAGAGATGTAACCACGGTATTGGTATTGTTTTAGACTAATCATGTGAAGTTGAGTTGTGTTATGGTTTTGATACCAATGGAATTGGTTTATAAAATAAAGATGATGGTTTTGGTTTTGGTTTTATAAAATGACGAGAATGAATTCTTAGAAAATGGTTGGAGTTGTGTGGATTGGAAAATAAACAAAAGTGATCTTTTTGAAAGAAAATGAAATCATCACCCTTTGTAAACGAATAATGAACTTGAGGTCAGATCTTGGAACCTTCACATATTATCATTGTTATTGGACTGAAAGTCTTGCAAGAATTGAATTTTCGTTTTCCTTTCGTATTAGATGCAGAAATAGATAGATATGAAAGTAAATGGTGGGGTTGGATATTTGAAATCTCTCACCTATGAAAATATTGATAGTTTATCTATTTTGAAAATTGTATATATGTTTAGAAATATATGTTTTGGGCTATCGGTGGAGGATAGCTATGACTATTGTAGAAATTGCATGTGGACTAGGTGAATTGAAATTAATCACTTGTGCTTGTCATTGAATATGACTATAATTATATACATTAGATATGTATGGTTATTTGGGAATGTAAAGGGGTTGTACTCCATATGTGATTATGTGTTTATATACATTGCGTATGTATTACACTTATATTGTTATGCATTCTAGTATATTGAGATGGGTGGGAATGTACTTGCGCTTCGAATAAGAGGTATCATTACCCTCCAGCTAGCGCTTGGAGAATTGGTCGCGTTTAGAATGAGAGGTACCAGTACCTTCCAGCTAGCTCTTGGAGAACTTGGCAGAGGTACCATTACCTTCCAGCCAATGTGGCTGGTAATTGGGATTTTGTTATGGAAGGTGTATCCTTGATTTGGCATTTTGTTATGGAAAAGTGTATCATTGGCTTACCGTACTTAAGGCAGGTAGAGCAGAATTTATTTATCATTATTGTCTCAGTCTATCTGGGTATATCATGGGTTATGATGGTTATTGTTCTAGAAAGCCGTGTTGCCTCAATTGTTGAAGCAGATAGTTATTGATTGCTTGTTGTTTTCCTTTTGTATTAAAGGCATACTTGTATAGTTATGAATGTGTTAGAAACGAACGTAAGTATTGTGTTGAGATGGTGAAAAACGTGAAAGACTTTGAATACTTGTGTGAACATGTTTTGAAAAGGCAAATCAGGTATAAGTCTGGAAAGTGAGAAAAAACGTAATGGGCTTGGTAAAATTATTTTCTTCAGAAATTTGTTATAGTCATATGAATTTTGGAAAAACGTAACAAGAAGAAAGAAAAGTGAATTGTTTATGTTATTGAATGAAATGAATGATTTTGAGAAAAGTTCTTATATATATATATATATATTTCTGTATAAACCATCACATTATTTCTACAGTATGAGACTAAGGATTCATGATCATAGCTATCTGTAAGTTGCTATTGTTTAGGATCATGTTGAGATCCCTACTGGACTTTATGTTCATCCCACGTTGCTAATCCTTTTTCAGGTGAACATCGAGAAATGTTTCAAGGTCATGGATCTTCTTTACCTGTTGGCCACGGGGCCTCTTATTTGTGGGCGGAATGCCATTGATGTAAAAGGATTAAACTCTTTCTTTTACTTTAAAGATGTAAGCCTACAGGCAATTTATTTAGTTATGCTCATTTTGTATTTAATTTGCATTCGGATGAGATAATCTTTATTTATTCTTACTCGTTGATGTAAACAGTTTTCCGCATGTTATCTCTGAAATTGAATTAAATTAATGAATCTGGTAATGGTTCCGAGAAATAAAAAGTGGGGCGTTACATATGATTATAAATCCCGAGAATATTTCAGCCCTTAATTGATTGAAATGGAATAAGATTCGTGTAGTCAACCACAAATAGTTGGGACAAGGCTCAGTTGTTCAATTTACACAACTAATTTTAGTTTAATTATAAGTATTTTAGGAAATTGAAATATCCCCAATTGAAATATTAACAATACTACTACTTTTACTAAAGCATCCCCAAAAGTAGGAAAATACCAAAAATCTTTATTTCACTCCATTAACTTATCAGAAAAATATCTTTATTCCCCGACTATATTCTCTTGGAATAGCTTTTTCCATTTCCCTCCAGAGTTTCCAACAAACAAACAGAGCATTAGGAAATTTTAAATTAGATTCATGCTTACAGGGGCTGAAGTAACCAACCATGCCCCACTCTAACACTTGCATAGAGGTCCATTTTTTATTATTAACCTTTGCTGCAGGGATTAGATTCAACATCACAGGCCTTAGTCCATTTTTTGTTAATAAACTTTGCTGGCTGCCCCCAAAATAACTTCACTCAGGCAAGACCGGCATTTCATTTTCTAAGAAATTTTTTGGGTAATCCACATACATAAATGCATATGCTCAATCATATAATTAGAGGGGGGTTGCAGATAGCTATTAAATAATTCTAGAATGGGTGGCTAATTAGCAGAGAAATTTTTGTGAGAGCAAGGATGATAAGACAAACTTTTCCAGATAACAAACATGGAAGACTTTGAACTATGTGAAAAATTACCACTTGTGCCTAAGGTTGTAAGCATGTCATATTGGTATGGGGAACAAAAACAAGCAAGCACCAAACAAATGTCAGTGTTTCTGCGAGAATCAAGGGAAAACCACAGGAACTCTAATTGAATATGTGTGTGCAGTGTGACATACTAAAAGAAAGAAGCAATTACCCTTTGACGTTTGGGGCTTGGAGAGGATGGTGGATTGCCATGTCGACTACTTGACGAGGCCCCTCTGTTTGAGTTGTCCTGAGCCTGTACATATGTAAAATGTTCAGTTAGCAAGGCTAGACAGCCATTTTACAAATGACTCTCCAAGTTGGAAAACAAATACCGTAAATTTCATCTTTAACACTGGGGAAACTCTGATAATAACGGAAACTCACTTGTGTTGAGGATGCTTGTGTAGTTCTATCCTCAATATCGCCCGCTCCCTCAGATGATGGAATACTTGACCCACTTGTTGTGCTTTCAGATATGATGGGCATGATCTGACGAAGTAAATTAGACAAGAACAGTCCTTCATTACCCTCTCTTGGTGCAGCAACCTGAGTAGTGGCAGCACTCTGAGTTGTTCCTGTGTGAACTGCAGCAGAGCTTGTACCCATTCCATGGAAGTTAACGTCACCAACATGGATATGCTCTCCAGGGAATATAGACCTCAGCAACTGATCAAGCCCGCCATGAATCTGCGTAGAAAACCCTTGACCAATTTCTGTCCCATCACCTGATGGAATGTTTCCTGAAATACAAACAAGTTTCATGTGTTTAACAATTTATTTATTTATTTTTAATTTTTTATGAATCTTTCTTTCTAACATGCTCAATTAGTTTTAAAGAGTATAACTGAAGAGTGTATAAGGTTATACTATATAATAATAAAAGCTTAATATTGATCAATCTACTATATTATCTTCATATATACAATATTATTTTCATATACTATGTAGAAATCAGTACACATTACAATATGGACCGTGAATCATTCAAATGGAGATTCCTTGATCAAAGACACTTTAATTTGAAACTAAAGACAGATCAAATGCAGAGTAGATGAACTATGCGAGAATTGCAGATGTATATAGATGATGATTTACTCTATTTAAATGCATGCACACATGCAAGCACACAACCATGTGGTGAGAAGGGAGTGGTTTCCATGCACATAAGTCAGAACCCATGGCCACAAGAAATACAAAAGCTTGAATTGTGAAGGTGAATCAATATTAAACAGGAACCACAAATTTGTAAAATGCTTTTGTTTACCACACAAAAGTCTAATTTAGAAAACAAAAAATATATATATTGATGTCTTAAATTATGCGATGCTTGTGGTTTCAAAAAGCCACTACCTATGACACACAAACACTCCATTTTAGTCACCATATCCAACCATGTCCAACACATGTCAGACACTGATGCTTGGACACGTTGGGATATGTGTCGAACATGTCACATGGCATAACATCTTTTATTATCATTTTTTCACAAGACACGTTGGGGGACACGTCAAGGACATGCATGTCCTACATCAAGGACGCACGTCTTGCATCCAGACACACCAAATGACACATGAATGTTCAGCATGAATATGGAAAAGTGGAAGAGAAGATAGGAAGGATGTAACAGGTATGCAAGGCAAAGGAATCTACCTCTCCCTACTCTTGTTTGGTTGAACGTGAAAGAAAACGAAAAAGAAATGAAAATGTATTGCTGGATTTTACTATTGTACCCTTAAAATTAAATTGGAAGGTGGTGTTCGAAGGATAAAATCATAAAAGTGAAAAAAAGAGCCCTTTCGCTTCTCCTTTCACACACTTTTGAATGAAAAGGATATGGCAGGCCTCGAGAGGTGTATCCCTTTCTCCTTTCCCTTATCCTACTTAACAACAAGAGACATCCTCTCTGTCCCACCTCTTTTACTTCCCTCCTTTCCATCAGTTGTATACCAAATGGACCATTAATGTATTCATACTCAAATAGAAGTTTCAAGTTTTCACATATTACCCTTTTAAAATGCAGATATTGATATTTTTAAACTATCATTCCGGGAAGTTACAAATTTTTCTCAAATTTTCACACTGAACAACTATTTTGGGACATTCCAAAGAGGAAACTGGAGCGAATTAATTAGTACGGAGGGAATATTGCTACTTCGGATTAGGACCAAAGAAGTAATCATAGCATATATAGAGTAAAACCCTTCAACAGTGAATCAGTGATGGAAAGAGAACCATCAATCGGCTGTCTTACAATCCTACCAAGTTTTTCTACCTTAATAAACTTTCTGAACTAACAACGATACCGTCTAGATCAAAGAAATCATAGAAGTCACAGTAAGTGCAGAGTTACCTTCTGCACCAGGAAGTCCAATGTTCTGTTGTTGTACTGCAGAATCAGGATTATGATGTTGCCCAGATTCAAAACCAGCAGGGTGACGTTCATCAGATGCTTGGGGAGCCCTTACATTATTCAAATTTCCAGAAGCTACATGTTGAACTCTTGCAAGAACTGGATAGAATAACCCCATTGAACCATGAGATGAATCAGAAGGGGAGCGCCTGACAGAAGTAGGTACTGCAGCAACCACAGTCCTGATAGGAACCACCCGGATTTCAGATTCCCTGGTAGAAGATGGACTTCCAGAGGCTCCTGGAGTCGATTGCTGATTGGAAATTCCACCACCAGAAGTTGGTGGGTTGTTTTGCACCGAAGACTGCTGCGCACCAGCTGGTTCCCTCTGATCAACAGTGGCTGACGGCATCAATGAACCTAACAGAAAATTTGATATCAGTACGGAGTTAGAGACAACCAACATGATCTGGAAGAAATTTACTTAATAATTAAACATAAGGAAAAGCATTATGATAAAGGTGGTAAAAGTGTCCCCAGATCTGAGACTACCAATAGGTGTCGCACCTGTGCGTATCCTGATGTCAATATTTCTTGGAAGGAAACCAGAACCAGGAGATCCTCCAGTCAATCCGGAGCCAAGTTTTGTTCATTTTGTTGTGCTATTTGCAACTCGAGGCGTTGAACATAGTCACTATTTTCAACAGGTGCAACAGTTGTATTCACAGAAGAAGAAGGCCTCATACCGAGTCCTTTCACATAACCTGGCCTTGGCCGAAGCACCTTGACTGATCAATTAGATGGACAAACAAAAGCAATTTCAACAAGTGTCAAACATACCTGAACCATAATAGGATTGGGACCAGATGTGGATATATACACAGCAGGACCAGCATTAACAACAGCATCAGCCTGAAGAAAGTTGTAGTACCACGAGCAGTATCACTATCATTATCTAAAATTTTTGCTAACATGTCCTCTCCTAAACCACACACTGGTACAGGCACATGGCCACGCATTATCAATATTAAATGCAAATTTAAGGTCATGTAAAAACAGAGAACAAACATAAACATACCGGTGCCTGACCCATTCGCAGTGTCATGGTTGTGCGGCCAAGCTCAAGCATCAAAGCACCTAAATCTCGAAAAAGACCTGCAGATCTTAAAGTGTTGGATTGAATGCTCATCCTTGTCAAAGGGTCATTCACAGTTGCCTGATCCTCTAGTTGTCTTGCAAGTTGCTGCAATATGAAAGAGAAAAATTCCAAGGTTTTGTCAATACAACAGATGCAAAATCATTGTGCATGTTTTTCAGGTAACAACTTGAAGCTTCTTCCTTAAGAATGGAAAACTGGAAAGAGGAGTAACATGTATTCTCCCACTTTCTAGGAAAAACAGAATTCAAATAAAAAAACTAAGTTGAAACAAATATATCATTCAATTCTACACTTAGTGGGGCCTGAGACATCTGAGACCACATTACATGCAACATTTATAAGGAAACTGAAAAGAAGGCTTATTACTAAGATGAGGTAATATCTTCTAAGACTACATTACATGCAACACTCATCGAAGTGAGAAACATGAGTGGCAAAGCTCCCTTCAACGTTTCTTTCTATAAATTACATGGAGATGTACACGAAACTCCTTTAAACTTTAGAAATTGAAGTTATGTTGCATATTTTTTTATTATCTTGGAAAAGAATGGTATCATCTACAAACTGAAGATGACAATGAAACATTATCCATTTCATTAATATTCATTCTTAATAGAGTTAATCAACTGGATGTTCGGAATTGGATTTTTTTAGTGCACTTGTTTGTTGGCTTTTTTCGTTTTTAGTGAACTTTGTAAAAAAAATTACAAAATTCTACCACACTAGAAGAACCAAAAAAGTAAAAGAAAAAAGAAAAAAGTACATTAAAGACAATAAAAAATAAAAAATAGTTGGCTTTTTGGCTTTTTTTGTCTTTAGTGATTTTTATTTTTATTTTTTTATAGATTTTTTCACTTTTTAGATTCTTCTACACTAGTTGAAAAAAAAAAAAATCTCTATAAACAAAAACATTCAAAAAAAAAAAAAATGTGCCTTTTTAATCAAAATGCCAAATGACCAAGTGAATACTTTAGTTAATTGTTCTCAAAATTATTATACAATTATCTCCCAAGTGTATCTCCTAAGCCTTATCAACCATTCTTCCCATTACTTCAACAGCTAAGATAAACAAAAAAGGAGGCAAAGGGTCACCTTGTCCAAGGCCCCTTGTTACTTTAAAACCCTCCCCTGCCTTACCGTTGACGATTACTAATAAATTGGAAGATGAGAAACAACCTTGAATCCATTTCCTCCATCTAACTCCAAACCCTTTCCTTTCCTTAACAAAATCCAAGAATCTCAAATCCACATTATCATAAACTTTCTCAAATCGACCTTAAAAATAACACCTTCCTTGCTTTGTGACGTATAATTCTCCACTACCTCATTTGGTACCAACAACACATCCAAATTTTGATGACCCTCAACAAAGGCACCTGGAGAAATAAATATAGTATTGCCCATATCACAACCCATTCCTACTCCACCATCACCCATTTTTGGCTGCCACCATTGTTGAGGCCAAATCAAACCCAAACCCTCGAATCAAATTGTTGGTGGGTTTGCAATTCTCACTCTCTCTAAAAACATACTGTTTAATTTGGGCATGGAGGGACACATCTTGTGCTAATACATGGTGAATCTTTGACTGCCCAAACCCACACATATATACATATATATGTATATATATCATTCCCAATTCATTTTCATCAGCAACAATAAATTAGGCAAATTAACCAAAGATAGAATAATTGGTCTTACCCTCTCATGCTTCATCATCCTCACTCCCTCCTTCCACCATTCTTCAGCCACGGTCATCACACCATGTGATGCAGCCCCAACCTACAAAGCCCTCCTTGCCGCTACCCTCAACACCCTCTGTGATGCAATCAACTATACCCCAACACTGATGAGTTCAAAAATTATTGAAGTGAATGCAAAGACCAACAAATTCTGTCGACATTACCCAAAATTCAACTAATCCTGTTGGCATTACTATCATTGCCGAACCCTCACCAGAAAATCCCAATTGTACAACATTTACACATACTCACATCACATACATATATACACACACATATACATCGTGTATGTGATTCTTGATCAAATCCACAAATCAAACCCATGGCCCGTATATATTTGTCTTAGATTCTTAATGTATATGTATATGGTTTTATATACACACCTATAAATTGGGAGGAGAAAGTGGTTGGTGGTGCAGTGAGGAGGGAGAAGTGTTTGGTGGTGTCGTGGTGGTGCAATGATGGTGGAGTGAGGAGGAATGAGAGAGTTGATCACTATTGTAGTTGGACCCATTTGCAGAAAGAGGTGAGAGATGAAAGGAAAATGAAAAAACTGAGTCTAGCAATCTCAAGCTATGAAGCACGGACACAGACACGGATACGGATACGGACACGGACACGGACACGGTACACGGCAATTTTCAAAAAATGGGGACACGGACACGGCGGGGGACACGGCGAATTTTATTTTATTTATTTTATATATTTTTATGTGTTATGTAGATTCATATTACATTCATCCTAAATTAAAATTAACAAACACTAACATAGTAACATTAATTGAATAAACATAACCATTACATTTAAACATATTAATAGATCATCCATTCACAAAAAATTCACAAAAAAGTCATAATAAACGATAACAAGAACTAAGACGAGAAGGGAAAAACATTCAACATCCAACAATATTTCTCACAAAAGCACTAAATAAGAGAGGCAAAAGATTAAAAAAATAAAAAAAAATTAAATTAAAAAAAATAAAAATAAAAACAGCCCTGCCGTGTCCCATGCCGTGTCCCCATATGGACACGCGTGTCCCCGCCGTGTCCCTGCCGTGTCCCCTGCAAAAAAATCATTAAATTAAAGGGACACGCCATCTGGCGTGTCCCATACGTGTCCCCGGCGTGTCCCCGTGTCCCCGGCGTGTCCCCGTGTCGGACACTGCCACGGCACTAATTTTGGAGTGTCCATGCTTCATAGATCTCAAGGATAAAATTGATATTTTGTAAAATATTAATTCTGACATTACCACAAACTGTCAAGTCAACTAATGGTAAACTAATGGAGGGGGTAATGTGTAATGCAACTATTAGCCTTAGGGAGGGGAATCTAATTTCTAGAACATTATGGAAAATTATGTATTAAATGCAAACCTCAAGGGGTGCTAGTGTAATTTAAGCTTTTTTTATTGTGCACCATAGACTTATCCCTCTCACAATAAAAAAATGTACGTCTAATTTTCATCTCATCAAAGGGCCTTTCCAACCTACTAGCTTTACTACCATCAACTGGACACCAATTCAAACCTCCTATTCTCAGTCTAATTACTCCTAAAGAATACAATCTAAAATAAAAATAAATAAATCTTATTAATAACTAAATCCCCTCAATCAACATTCCACAACCCTATCTGGGCCAATCTTAAGCCTCTTAATAAATTTCTTTTGCCTTCTTCCATTTGCGACCTTATGAAACAACTTAGAATTGTTATCACCATCTTTCAGCCAATTCATTTTTGCAACATGTCAATGCATGTGTGGTTTATTCTTCATTATTTGACTTTCATATAAGGGTAAATGTACTGTAATTATTGACCTTGTCTTTCACAATGCGGTTAAAATGTTTGTTAAACAAAAGAAATTTTAGTGTATTTCATTTCATAAACATGAGGAGGTTCTGGTCATTGTCAAAAACCTCAAGGGAGGTCAATGTAATTTACACTAACAATTTTTAAGTAACAAATTTATCTTTTGTTTATATGAAAATAAAACTTGCCGACAAATATAGTTTTCAGCTAAAAGGAATGACAATGCATATTACCAAGGTCGCCGAGCTTTGCCAAAAGAAAAAAATTTGATTAATTGCACTCAGCACCCCTGCATCTCCCCCAAAATTCCACTTTAGCCCCCTCCACTTTTAATTGTGACGGTCAACCCCTTATACTTTAAATAAATTTCCAATGTCCCCCTTTCATCCATTTGTTATTAATGAGGCTAATGGAAACTGGAATGAAAGTCACACGTGACATTTCTTGTCTCACTAGCACGCCTTCAGTTTCACCAAAATCCCACTTTGGTTCCTCAACCTTTAATTATATCCTCTGACAAATGTCATGTGCGGCACACATGGCAATTTTCACCAACCTAATTAATGCCAAATGGATAAAAGGGTAGCATCACAAACTTGACTTAAAAGTGTAAAGGTTAGTGACAGTTAACATATCACAACTGAAAGTGGTGAGGCCAAAGTTGGATTTTGCTAGAATTGCAGGGCGTGCTAAGTGCAATTAACCCACAAACTAAAGGGCACCAAATCTAATCTTGTACAATTGTATTAAATATTTCACAAATCCCACCACTCTAGAAATTAGTATTACTACTATAAATGGAACTTTCAAAGACTTCAATAATTATTTATTACTACAATTATTTATTATCGCCTTAGTAAACAAAAAGGATTCAAAGAAATTATTAAGTCAAGGTATCAACTATTAGGGGGTCAACTATAAAATGGTCTTGAACTTTGACTAATTGGCTACCTTATCTTTTAGTTTAGCAAGATCTAAGCATATATTTTTGGAATCAAACTACAAGCAAGTAAGAATTATGGTGCCTGCCTTGTATCTAATGCTTTGGTTTATTGTCAATCTAAATCCAGCTTTAAAAGCTCACAATTCACGTTCATACATTTCTCAACCTTGTTAATTTTGCCATGAATTATCAGTTTATTCACATTTGAAGTGGCCAAACGGAAACAACAGCAGAATCTAAAATTACAAAAGCAGACGAATCTAATAAAAAATAAATAAAAATGTTAAGCTTAAGTGCATACAGCTAGGCAATCTGCCACTTGTTCAGTGAGTATTTGTCTAGTAGACAGCATCACTTCTGCCAAGGAGGCTGGTGTGGGGAGCCCTGCCCGTCCACCAGCTGAATGTGCAGCAGCATCAGATTGTTGTCTGTCGCTCCCATGAGTGCTAGCAGCTTGAGAAGTATTGCTATGGTCTCGAACTGACAACTCCAAAACTCCAAAGATTTCAGTGTAAGATATTTAAAAAGCAAAGACCAAACTAATCAAAAGATCAACCAGAAAATAATCCTAACCATTTGCAATAAATTCATGCCTCAAACGAGTCAAATACTGCGACAGCGTTGTCAAAGAATCAGGAATCACCTGCAAAAACCAACATGAGCATTGATACTTCTCTAGTCTGAGAGAGAGAGAGGGTACAAAATTTCTTCAACTTGAAGATACTTGCCTAAGATTGTTTCAAATATGAAGATGAAGTCCTATGAGGCAACTAATAGCAAAGAGATTAAATGAATGAAAAGAGCCAAGAGCAAATTGTTACTAACAGGTGGATGCAGAGGTTCCAAGGGAACAGATGTTGAAAATTGGAAACCACCATTGTGGGGATTAGATTGACCCACTGAGGCATTTTGGTCGGTTTGCTGTCCACTAGAGTTTCTTAGGCCACTAACACCAAGTGTTCTTAAAAGCCTCTCTGGAGCAGCTTCCTGTAAAACAAAATAATAAATAAGTGAATTAAATATGGTAAGATATTTCAGCTGTTTTTTAGATCAGTTCTTCTCAAGTAACCATATAAAGCTCTCTGATATATTAAGCAATGATTGTATCATTTCATTAGTCAGAGTTGAGGGCCTGCAGCCCAAAAACTGAATCAGCGATGGAGCTCCCATCAAATTAAGTTTCATCTATACCATTGTAAGGGGAACTTATGTGTAGGTCCTAATAAGTGGACTTATTGTCTAATAGGTCCTATGATAATTAATGGCATTTTTCATCAAACACTATTAAAAAACGTCAATAATTATTAATTTTCAGCGGCAGTTTGAAAATTGTCACAAAAAAATCACTAATTATAAGTTTTAGTAACAATTTAAAAATATCGTCACAAAAAAAGTCACTAATTTTTAACTTTCAACGACAATTTGAAAAATTCGTCGCATAAAAACGTCACTAATTGTAAGTCTTAACAACAATTAATAATAATCATGATAATAAAAAATATAAAAAATAAAAAAAGTCACCAATTGTTAATTTTTAGTGACATACAAAAAAAATGTCGCAAAAAAATTATTTTTAGCGACGATTTTACTAAGACTAACTTTCAATAGGACTTAATGGGAATTAATTAAGTCCAACTATTAGGCCCTATTGGTAGGTTTCCCCTCTTATAATTCGATCCTTAACCACACAGAATGTAGTCACCCAACCAAAAAAAAAATAGTCACATCACAAATAAACCTAGTTGGAGATTTATTATGACAAGAAATTGCACAAAATGGACTTCACCATATGCAGTTTTTATTTATTTATTTTTTAAAAGTAAAATTATTAGCAACTTACCCTGAGATCAGCCCCTTCATTGCCACTTCCAGCATTGGTGATTCCAAAAGAACTGAGAACGGCTGAGACAATCTATTATATAATTGTGTATATGAGAGAGAGAGAACAGAAACATTACAAGGGCAGTTAGCACCATTTAGAAACAAACTATAAGGTTGCATAATAGGTGATATCCTTACCCGACTGAAATCTGGAAGAACTCCATCACCTTGTTCAGATATATTGAAGGTTCCAACTACCACGCTGGGCCCTGCTTGAGTGCCTTGACGGTTAGTGCCTGATGCGGGATCAGTTGCTACAAAACAATAATACTTATCAGTAAAAAAACAAAAACCTTTAGACTTGAACTAAAATATAAATATATATATAGAGAGAGAGAGAGAGAGAGAGAACACTGAAACATTGGTAATATAAAACCAACATATTCGACCGCAAATAAAAAGAAAGTGCTTAACTATGCCCAAAAGCTCACCTACTATGAAAATCTAAAGGAATATAATAGTAAACATTTGACAAATTTTGCTTATGAGAGTTACATCTCCTCTGTTTAGTTTATTTTTGAATTCTCGATCATCATCAAATAAATCAACTGATGACCTACTCCTAGTTTGCAATCAATAAGTTGCACTATACAACATAAGATATCTACCTGGCAGTATGTTCGACATCATTACTCCGCATACAATGTATTTAGGGCTGCAAATGAACCAAACTGTTCATGAACAACTCGAGCTCGGCTCGTTTAAGACTTGTTTAAGCTTGGGTAGTTTAGTTGATGAACATGCTCGAACTCCAATCCCAAGCTTGTTTACCAAATGAGCCGAGTCCAATAAGACTAAAGCTCGGCTCGTGAGCTGAATATTTTATGTCTTATATATCAATATTTTATTCCACATGCACATATTACATTATATAAAATATATCTATTATGCATGTATTGCAAATATTTTATTCTATTGGTAACATAAAGTTTTATAAAGGGAGGCATGCCTCAACCATCTTTTCTTTACCGATGTGGGATGGAAACCCATTGTGGGTTAGTCACCAATACCAGCATACAATCTTATAAAGGGTGTGAAACATCATTCGCTACTTCCCTACAGATGTGGAACTAAAGAAGCCAATGCAATTCAAAAATTATGAAACTTCTGCTTGGCATGTGTTGTCCATTAGTTCCCAAGATGACTTCAGAACTTTTTTGTTGGTAAATGAGGCTTAACTTACCCCAAACAATGATCATATATAATGTGTCAATTTTTTCTCTCTATTTGCTAAGCCTCAAATAAGGGTAAATTACAAATACGCCTCCTAAGATTTGCTTAAAATACGAATTGTCCCCTGTGGTTTGAAAAATTACAAATATCTCCCTGCCAGAATTTTTTACTTAATAGAATTAATTGAAAAAATGAAATTTCTAACTATTCACCTATACAATAATAAAATTATCTGAATTATTAATTGAAATAAAATTTTAACATTATTAAAAACTGTTAATTAACTTAATGATTTATTAATAAAATGACCTATTTGTTATGAAATTGGAAATCTTAGGGGGGCATAATGTAATTTCTAGAACCACAGGGGGTGATTTGTAAATTAAGTAAACCTCAAGGGATGTGTTTGTAATTTACCCCTCAAATAACATATGCTAATCAACAAAACCCACATTCTAAATCACATAAATAAATCCAAAAAATATAAACATTAACTAATTTCTTACTATTAAAAAAAAAGAATAACAAAAAATAGCTATAACCCAATGCAGGCTGTAAAAAAGAAAAAAAGGAAAGCTGTAAAAAAAACAAGAAACAAAGAAGGATGTAAAAAAGTACTCAAATTGGTTTATGGGTTTGTGATAATAAGTTCTAGAGAGAGAAGTAGAAAGAGGGTCGGCAGAAGAAAGTGAACAAATTGATACGTAGGCCTCGTTTGGCAACTATCCTTTTTAGCCAAAAAGCCAAAAAATTACTAAAAAAATCAAAAAGCCAACAACCCATACCAAAAAGTCAAAGATTCCTTTTTCTCTCTACTTTTTGCACATATTTTCGTAAAAAGCCAAAAAGTCATCCCAAACATATTAGTTTTTTTTACATCACATTTTAGCCAAAAAGCTAAGAGGTTACTAAAAAAGCCTGTTCCCAAACAAGGCCGTAGTAGCTTGTCTTTCCTTCATGATTTACGCATGGAGCTCTTGCTTTGCCTTCACTAGTCCCACATCGGTCCCCAATAAATGGAATGGACACTGAGACACCTAAAAAGGTGTAGGGGCAGACTGAAGCTCACTGCAGCTACAAAACTGAGCCACAGACGCTCTCGTATTAAGTGTAATTTCAAAAAATTCGGAGTACTCGAGCCAACTCAAGCTCGTTTTGAGTTCATTAAAAATTTAATGAGCCAAGCTCTAGCTCAGTTGGTTTAGCTGGACTTGAGCTCGAGCCAATCTTGAATAGTTTTAAAATTGACCAAGCCGAGCCTGAATATTGTAAAACTCGGCTTGGCTTGTTTGCAGCCCTAAATGTATTCCAGCTTCTAATAATAATCCTTGAGATAAATTTTTGAGTTCATTAAAAATTTAATGAGCCAAGCTCTAGCTCAGTTGGTTTAGCTGGACTTGAGCTCGAGCCAATCTTGAATAGTTTTAAAATTGACCAAGCCGAGCCTGAATATTGTAAAACTCGGCTTGGCTTGTTTGCAACCCTAAATGTATTCCAGCTTCTGATAATAATCCTTGAGATAAATTTCAGTCTATAGCAATTTTCTGAGTTCTTCAGTGATTTATTTTCAAAATTTTTCTAGAACAATTTAACTAATCCAAAAACTAATTATAAAAACTAAATTCTGAAGTAAAGAAGAAAAAAACAAGAAGACCAAAATTCAGTACAGAGTCAGAGACAAGTAGAATGATTTATTTGCTATGATCTTACAAAACATTTCAGCTCTATTCCTGTTTTTCTATTTCGATATTTCTCTTGGCCAAGCATTAGAGTTATCTTTTGACCCTTTTGATCCCCTTCCCCTGCTTAGAACCCTTGACCATAGTGAAATGGGGTGTCTAAGGGCCACACTCATGTTAGTGTTAGGACTAACATAGGTTGCCATTTTGCTGACCTTGTAATGTGCAACCTTACCCAAGATCCTACCATGAAGAGAGCACACTGGACGAGCTTTGAGCCCTTGGAAGCTTGAAGTGCTATGGAAAAGCTTCATCGACATGGAAGAACACTATGGGAGAGCATCATCTGCACGGAGGATGCTTGGACAAGGCTAGGACCAAAAATACCTAGAAAAGTGGACATTGCAGTCCATTTGGTCAGCTTGGTTGACCACCAAGACAGTGCAGGTCAAACTGGCAACCATTCATATATGATGGTCAACCTAGATTAGGTCAAGTCAGGTTCATCATACCCACAATTTCTTCCAGTAAAACAACATAGTTTGGCCTACCACATATAGATCCTGAGACTGAAATTCTCTGTAGAACTGGTTATTACATGCTCTTCTATTTCCCCCAAAGTACATGTCCAACTATGTCCAACAGATATGACAAGGATAAGAGTGTGAGCTATGTGTTCGACAATGCCTTCACCCCTTCCATCCCCAAAAGCCACCACATTCATGACCCGCTTCACACCCCCAACAACCACCATCATCTCCCCTACCCCTACCCCTACCTACTACCCACTGACACCTTCCCCCTTCCATCACCAAACATCACCGAGACCCAATTTGGAACCCTCTTCCACATGCACATATAGAGAAGCTGCAGATGGGCAAAAACCCACCACCACACCCCAGTTTGGAACGAGTTTGATATTTCTGTGATTTTGTGTTAGATAATGTTTGACGACAATGTTCCACAATGGTGTCTGAGATAGTGGTTCAGCATGGCTATGACAACGACGATTGTGCTCAACAATGGTGACACCAGCCGCCACTGCTTTCATTTTCTCAAGCTACCATCTCCTTCCTCCACTCACACCGCCACCCCCTTCCTCTCTCACAGCGACCCTGCCACCAACCCTTCATTGTAGGAACCCAAATCTGGGTTTTTTACAGTAAGGGTTTGTATTAGGTGTTGATTTAGGAATTTGGAATTTGGTGTTTGCATATGTATATATAGGGATGGTGGTTCTCGTGAGATAAGAGTGAGAAAGGGATGTGATGAGTTGGATTTGGTGGGTTTCTGGTGGTCCTTGGTGCTCGTGGTGTGGGTTGAGAAGCTATAATCATATTTAGTTCAAGAATTAGAAGGCAGAAGAACCATAGATTACTTCATTTCCTTTTCGTTGTCATCAGCCAACTTATTATGTTTTGAATAGTTGTACAAGTATGAATCATGCGCTAGTGTCTGCATCAAAGATCTGCACAAAAAGACATACTAGAGAGGTGGAGTTGGTGGGGTAAGGTTTTTTTCGTTATTTCACATCTATTAATTGAATTAACTTTTTCAAGGGAGGCCAGTGTCATTTCTTCATACTAATAGGGTCAGTTATAATTTAGGCAATTGTCAAGGGAAGTCGGGGTAATTTAACCAAAAGATAAAAGAAGAGCAAGATAATAAATCCATAAGGGATTGTAATGCAATGTGGAAATCATAGTTTCAACATGTGAGTAACCCAATACAGAAGTTTTTGGCAATGAAATTATACCATGCCTAAAATAAACCAAAAAATTAGTAAAAAGGTGCCAAAATGAGCAGAACAGAGCATGACATATAAAATCTATGGCAAAGAAATCATATTATATTATAGATTGCACAATGTCAAAACTCTATAATGAAGCTAATTAGCAGAGATAGCACAGTAGACCTGGATCAAAAGAGCTCTCCAATAATGATGGTATTGGTTGTCTCACAACCAGGTGCAAAGTGTGACCGTCTTCCACATCTACAATCATCTTATGTAAAGGAGCACCAATATCCAAAGAAACTAAGCATATTCAAATAGTAGAATTAAAATGTGAAATCTCGGTCATATGTAAAACAAACAAGTCAAACACTTTATCCAACAGCACCAATGCCCCACAATTTATCATCTATTTTTCTATGAAACAATATACACACAAAATCTCAATCCAACTATTAGCACCCTACCATATCAATGTAGTATCCTCGTTAAATGACCTAGATCACCTATTCTTTTTATTTGATATCAGTCATCAAACAATTCAATTTTTTTTCCAACCTTTGAGGTGACATTATATTCATTACTGTAAAGTAAGAATATCACATGCATGCTCTTCTTTTTTTCCTTTTCAGTGGCAAAGCAAAGCAAATTACATAGCTCATTTTGACACTGGAGTCAATGAAATTACAGGCATGCATGTATAATATCCATCGGAGGTACAGATGTCCTATGTTCAACTGGGATGACAATGCTCAAGTAAATCAAATTCTAAATAACCAACAAACCCTCATTGTACAGAAAACATTCAATGGGTAAGATGAGCACATGGGGTGAGCCTGTACATGTAAATTGGAAGATAAAAGTAATAAACAATGGCATATAGATGTAGCCAATAATTCCAAGAAGAGCATATATGATAGTCACACAAGCATTACCAAAAAAAAATAATAATAATAATAATGATGAGATTCGAGTTAAGCCTCGCTAAGTGCAATAAAAGAATACGGTAAGCTGATAGAAGCTGATCATCCTTCAAAACTTTTCCACGGCATATCAGCCGCTGTTGTTCAGACAATACACCAGTAACAGTAGCAATCTGTTCCTTAAGAGCAGGTACAGGCACCTGCACGAAATTTAGAAATAGAGAGAAACCATAAATAAAAACTTTAAACCGACAACTTCTACCATTACTCGTATTCAACATGTATGCCTAAGCATAATTTTGTCCTCACACATGGGCGCACATATATGTCCAGGTCCAGAAGAGGATAGCGGCTTTGCAAGCCAGAATTCTAACTTCCTGTTTACTTCTAAAACTGACTTGATTATAAATGGCTTCTTCCAGAAGGGGAGGGTGAATACTTTCAGTGTACCTTAAGCTCTTCAATGGTGCAGGTGCAATCTAACTTTTTAGATAAAATGATGCAGGATTGTATAGAAAAATATTTTAAAAACATATCAACAATTGGATTTGAAGAACTTTAAAGTTCTATAAACATTTGAATCAAATACAAAGTCAATATAATTATAGTTTGTAAATGAAATAGGACCACAATCTTTAATTACCAAAAATATGCTCAGTAAAATAATCATTGGAATAGCAACTGGTACTCACACATTTATCCACTCGCAAAGTATATGTCTGAGAATCCAATGTCTTTATCTTTATCTCAACGGTGGCTTCAGAACAATTAGCTTCTTCACTCCCAGAAATAATAACTTCATCACTGCCTTTACTTCCCATTTCCTTCAAAAGTCCACTAAATTTCTGAAATAACTGCAACAATAATGATTAGCATTTGATACATTTCAACAGGAAAATGAGGCACCGGGTATCCTGCTACTGGCTACAATAAAAATAACCATAACTAATCATGATGATGATGGATCATATAGTAATAATAAAAGAACTTGAAGTTTATAAGCAGAACATAATGCATGTAAGGCTAAGCTAAGTGGCTAAGCTAAGTAGCTAACCATGGAATTAATCTTGACATTATATATATATATTTGATAAGTATGATGGAAGAATATCATCAATCAAAAAGGTACCAAGGATGCCACCTGTATACAAAAATAAAAAGGAAAGGATCCCCCAAAACAGCCCTGTTTGTTTTGGGTGATACAGGAGGGGATCAGACTAGTAGTGAGGTGGAGTCTATGAGAATCATGTTTGTTTGGAGAAATGACCATGGGGCAAACAGTCCCATGGGATTAGAAATACCCTCTAGTGAGGGGACTAGCAAACCCATAGGGCTCCGTTTGTTTTCAGAGATAGAATGGAAGAGATTAATAGTGAGGGGATTGATAGTAAGGGGATTAAGTAAAATTGTGTTTGTTTTGATAATAGTTGTTAGTGTAGGAATTGTTAAATTATTTTTATATAAAATAATAAAACAAATAAAAAAATATAAAAAATTAAACATTAATATTTAAAAAAAATTCTCAATATATAAAAAATAAAAAAATTTCTAATCCCTTCACTATTTTTCTAATACCATCTCCACCTCCACCATCTCAATCCCCCTTCCAACCTCCATCTATATCACCTCCTCCATCCTAATCCCCTCCCCAACTCCACAAACAAACACAACACTAAATAATCTCACCTCCATCCTAATCCCCTTCCATCTATTTAACCCCAAAACAAACGGGGCCCTAGAGGAGAAAGTATTCAAATCTAATCCCATGGGATTTAGAGATGAAATGACTATTTTGTCTTTTATTTTAATATTAAAATATAATAGTATAATAATATATTTATACCAAAACTAATATATATCAACAAAAATAATATATTGCCAAAAAATATATATATATATTTTATAACATGTAATTTTTAATATTAAAATATATCACAAACACCAAGCGTATTTATGAAATTTCACATAGTTAAACCCATCATAGAATGACAAAACAAACATGAATTCTTCCTAGTTCGTGGTCATCAAACGAACACAATTTTTTTTAATCTATTCACTAACAATCCCCACATTAACAATCCCACCCAACCTAACTCTAAAAACAAACGGGCAAAACAACTACACAAAATAGACAAAAACAACCTGCAGAGCTTAAACAGAGGTACCTCCATCCCTTCAAAGGTCCTATTGTTCCGCTCTCACCAAATGATCCACACAATATCACGTAGTGAGGTCATAAATAAATCAGAAAAAGATTGAGATCTGTAAAAAAGATCCCCCTAATTTATCCACAATGACATGACATATTACATATTAAATTTTGATTTGTCACAGACTCAACTCAACCACGTAAGACCCAACTCTCTCAACATGTCATTGTGGGTTCCAAATTGCAAGTTCCTAACATTTCTCAAATAATTCATCTTAGCTCTGCCTTTCGCTCTCAGTACAAGACTCAGTATCAACCCACTAACAAAATACAATGGAAGAAAATAAAAAGTCACTGATCAGTAAGACTAACCACTCAGCATACGAATACCTACAACAAACTCAATTCCATTGATCATCGAACTCAGCAGAACCCATTAATCCAAATGAGAATGCATCCACAAATCAAAAACCACAGACTCAAAATTTCCAACTCTACTAAATGAAGAGACTTTCACACACAGGTCTTGAACTCAATAATTTACTGATTCAAAATACCAATATTAAAATTAAAATCTAAAAATTGGTCCGATGCGATTGAATTAAATGTTTACTCGAATTCAATGGAAAAAACGAAAAAAGTTCCACCAATTCAAGGGCGCGTTGATCAAGAAACAAGCACGGCTAACCCTAGAATTGAATGCGAAACAATCAAGAAAACAAGATAACTGAGCAACAGAACACCGATTCGAAGAGAATGGGACTGGGAACTACCTTGTGAACTTGATCGCGAAGGTCTCCAACGAAAATCTATTGAGCAGAGAGAGGGGTGATTTATTACTCTCTCTCTCTCTCTCTCTCTCTCTCTGTGAACCAACGGGCTATCTCTCTCTATCTGAACCAACGGACTAGCCCGTTGGCCCTGGCACCTCAGACATGTCAAGGTTTAACTCTCCCCACGCGAGCATTTCCTTCGTAGTCAGCCCCACCACCACAATTTCTACTCACTTTCCTTTTTTAATAAAATAAATGATAAATTATAAATACATCCCCTTGCACCATCTCTAATATTGATTCAAAAATTTTATCAAATTAGATAAAAAATTTAATTTAATACCTTGCATTTCAATGCTCAAATTAGAATTTTCATTAGATTTTTTTATATCCCAGTTGTCTAGGAATGCGTTCGAGCGAATGTCTTGAAAGTCATTCAAACATGAATAAAAAAACTGTCAAAGTTGCTCTTAGATAGACATCCAAGTAGGCAGCAAGAAGGAAAGAGGATGTCCGGCCTAATAGTAACAATCTAAGTTACATGGACGCGGGTACGAGGATCGGGTGCGGGTGCGTATCTAGGGGTCGGACACTTCAAAATTATAAATTAATGATACGTGGATATGTATCCAAATTTGGATACGGGTACGGGAATACGTTAAATATATATATATATATATTTTAAATATAGTTATTAAGATGAGTTATATTATATAAATAACAAATAATTATTTTACATATATGTGTTTATTTATTTTTATTAATATATATAAGTATATATTATCTTATAAATATCTTATATGTTATACAATAATTATTATATAATATCTATATAATTTATATAATATCTATTGTATTATATAATTTTTTTTAGATGAATAATATTACATATTATTATATTAATGTAATTTATACTATATATTATATATTAATGTAAATGTAATATGAATAATAATTTATAAAAATTATTATTATATATGATAAATTATATAAATTATATTATATATATTATATATGATCAATATATATGATCATTAAAACAGAGGCAAAGAGAGACCGAACAGATTGAGAGACGAAGAGAGAGAGAGAAGCAGAGACGAGACGAAGAGAGAGAGAGCAGCAGAAACGAAGAGAGACGAAGACGATCGAGCTCGAGGTCGAGATCGACAGTGATCGAAGCCCTAGACGAAGACGATCGAAGCCCTAGACGAAGACGATCGTGATCAATAGTGAGAGCCCTAATCGTGATCGATGATCGAAGACAACAGTGACCAGGTTCTCTTCCTTTCTCCTCTTCCATTTCTTTGCTGTCTGTAAAGTGCCGTGTCCGAGAGAGACGAGGCGAATCCGACACAGATCTCACACCCGCACCTGTGTCGTGTCGTGTCGACACGAGTACTTCGCCCCAAAATGACGAGTCCATGTAACATAGGTAACAATTCAAATTTGATAAAAGATGAAAGGATAAGTTTTTATGTAGGTTTTTTTAGTTGTAGGTTTTTATTGGATAAAAAAATTTTGGTGTTTGGGAAGATAGTTGGGTTTTTATGTGTTTGGATGTGATGTTTGTGAGAGAAAAAGTGAAATGATTATGGGGTTAGATGTGATATTTTGTTTGGATGTGATTTTTTTGGTTTTGTAAAAAGTTTGTCTTTTAGTGGAAAAAATGAGAAAAAAAATTGGAACCTAAGTTCCCAAACACCACCATTTGATAAAAGTTTGGGTTTCCCTTCTATTTGATATGAATTTGGACAAAGAGTTGAAGCGCCAAAATGAGGTGTTTTTCATCAAATTCAAATTTGATAAAATATCTAATGTTGGATTGGAGATGCTCTTAGTTTTGTTTAAACTATGAATTTTTCTCTATAATTTGAAATTACATCCCACCCCTTGAATTTTGATTTTCATAACAAATGACCTCTTTTAACAATAAATCATAAAATAAATTAATAATTTTTTATGATATCAAAAAATTATTTCAATTAATGATTTAGGTAATTTTATTATTTTATAGAATAGTAGTTATAAAATTTATTTTTTCAGTGAATTCAGTGAAATAAAAAATTACGACTGTTTGGTTTGTTTTTCAGAAAAAAATTTGGAAAAAATTCCCTACAAACAAATTTTCAAGAGTAATCAAACCAAACAAATTTTTTCAAAAAGAATCTCAAAATTTTGTTTGGTTACCTACTTTTCAAAATCACTTTCTCTCTCTCATACATATAAAATCAATCACTTTTTTAAAAACTCTCTCCCCAAAACAATTTTCTAAAACCATTTATAAAAAAAGGCAAACCAAACAAGTTTTCGTACTTTTTATCTCAAAAACTACTCTACAGACACAAACCAAACACACCTGAGGTATTTCTAATTTCCCAAACTATAAGGGATAATTCATATTTTAAGCAAATTTTATAGAATATATTTGCAGTTTATCCTAAAATTAAAATGACCAAAATAGATGAAGGGACCGTTTGGGAAGCAAGTTTGGGCTAAAATAGCCATGTAGAGCAAAATAAGTTATTTTAACCAAATAGGACAAAATGTCACATCCAACCCATAATTATTTCATTTTTTCTCTCACAAAAGTCAAAAAAACTAAAAAGTTTATTCCAACCGAGATTTTTTAGCCCAAGACAAAAATAGTCAAAAAGTCAACCCACATCTCAAATAAACTCAAAGCCTCTTTGATTCAAGTATTAGATCATAGGATTTGATTATTAATCCAATAATATGTACATTCATGTGTTTAGATTGCATAAATGGTGGCCAGTTTAGTAACATGTAGAACTTCTAAATCCCACAAAATCGTGAAATATTCAATACCATATAGAGGTGTGTATTTAATAATCCCACACATATTTATCCTACTAATTGAATTAAATAGTTAATCCAATGGTTAATCCCATGGATTATTAATTGTATCACTGTCACTCCAACAAATCAAACAGGAACTACAAGAAGAGGGGCCTTATAACACGGAAGTATTTGTGACAGCATCACTTACCATCGCAAAAAGTGATTTTTTGCAACAGCACCACTTATCGTCGCTAATAAATGGGGTTTTTGTGACAAAACCCCTTCCTGTCACAAAAAAATAAAAAATTTGCGACGGTAACAACTACCATTGTAAATAATGTGCATTTTTTGCGACAGTAACCTATGTTGTCACAAATAAAGCTATTTTTTGCGATGACATGAACTGTAATAGCAAATAAGATAGTTTTTTGCGACAATAATAGGTGCCGTCGCAAAAAAAAAAAAAAAAAAAAAAAAGCTCCCTTCTAAAAAAAAAAAAAAAAAAAAAAAGAGACTTTTTTGATGAGATAGCATTAGAAGTAAAATGCTGTTACAAAAAAATTGAAATTTTTGTAGTGTTTCACTTATTTTTTAATCTTCATGCCTCTCTCTCTCTTTCGTTCATCTCTCTTCTCTTTCTTTTTCTCTTTCTCTCTCTCACTCATCACTCTTTGTCTATCTGTCTGTGTGTCTCTATCTATCTCTCTCTCTCTCTCTCTTATATTGTGCTCGCATTGCTCACTCTCTCCCTCTTCTCTTCTAGATCTGTCGATCTTTTTTTTTTCTCTCTCTTTCTCTTTCTCTCTCTTTTTTCAATAACTTATCTCTCATTTCTCTTTAATCACGTGTTGAAATAGAAAAAAGTCAAAAAATGAAATAGGCCTCTATCTCTCTCTCTTTCTCTCTCGCTCATCTCTCTTCTCTCTCTCTCTCTCTTTATCTTTTATCTCTCTCTCTCACTCATCACTCTTCTCTCTAGCTCTCGCATCTCTCTCCACTTTCTATCTCTCTTATTCATCTTTTTTTTCTCTCTATATCTCTCTCTCTCTTTCTATGTCTTTCTCTATATCTCTTGTTCATCTTTTTTTACTCTCTCTCTTCCTCTCATCTTGTTTCTCTCTATTTTTTCTTTCTTTCTCTCTCTCTCTCTCTCTCTGTGTCTCTCTCTCTCACTCATCACTCTTCTCTCTGGTTTTCTCATACATCTTTGCTCTTTATCTCTCTTGCTTATATTTCTTTTCTCTCTCTATATATACATATATATCTTTTTCATCTCTCTTTACTGTCCCTCTCTCTTTTTCCCTTTCTTTGTCTATCTCTCACTCATTTTATTTCTCTCTCTCTCTCTCTCACTTATCTCTCTTCTTTGTCAATTGTTTATTTCTCTTAATCACACTCATCTCTTTCTTTGAGCCCATTGTTGTTGAAAGAGGAAAAAGTCAAAAAATGAAATAAGTCTCTTTCTCTGTGTCTCTCGCTCATTTCTCTTCTATCTCTCTTTCACTCATCTCTCTTATGTATCTCTCTCACTCATCTCTCTTCTGTATCTCTCTCTATCAATCTTGTTCATCTCTATTTTTTTTTTTATATCCCTCTCATTTATCTCTTTTTCTTTCTCTGATTACCTCTTGTTTCTCTCTCTTCATAGCTTTTATTGCGAAGCAAAATGGGCACGGAGGTTTTTGGCAAAAAAATGAGTTTTTTTCTTTTGCTACGGCAACCTTTCCCCGTCGCAAATACAAGTTATCGGCGACAGGCAATACCCTCGTCGCAAATAAAAAAATTACTAAACGAGCCATGAATTCATTGTTTAGTGCTTGTTTAGTAATCATTTCGTTTTCAGTTTATATTTACAAAAATTTACGAAACTGTCATAAAAACTTGTTTGATAATTTTTTTGGTTTATAAATGTTTGTTTCAGTTTATAAATTTAAGAAAAAATTGTAAACTCAAAAAATGACTTTACGTTGGTTTTTAAGCATAAATTTTAAAATTTGACTAACAAATTTTTTTAATTAATTTTTTTCCAAACAAATTTTTTTTTCCAGTTATAATGTGTATGATCCCATTGTCATAAATAATAAAAAATTAAATATAAATATTTTAGGCTTGCACAAATATTTTTTTAGTTTATGTTTTTAAATTTTTTTAAAACATTTTATTCAAACCAAATGCTTTTATAGTTTATGTTTTTCTAAAAATAAACAAATTCTAATTTATAAAATTTTTGTAAACATAAATAAAAAACATAAACGTTATCAAATGATACTTTTTTATTTGTGACGGTTATACTTGACGTTGTAAAAAAAAAAAAAAAAAAATCTGATTCACACTCGTTTTCCCCCTCAATCAAAAATCCCCAAATCTCAGATCCCTAATCTTTTGAACCAAAAATCCCCATCTCTCTGGCCAATTTCCCTGATTGGGGCATTTTGAATATTTTAGTCCCACATTAGGGTGTGTTTTTAACTTTATTCCCATACTAGGATAAAACGGTTTTAGAAATACTGTTTTCTAGAAAACGGCTTTTGAAAAGCCATGTTTTAGGATTAAAATAATAATAAAATTTGAACATAGAAAACGACTTTAGAAAAGCCGGTTTTAATTAAGTTTTTAATTAATTCTAAATTAATTAACCGTTTTTACATTAATTTTTTTAATTTATATTTTCAACATAAATATTTTTTGACTAAAAATATTTTTAATAAAAAACGGTGTTAGAAAAGTCGTTTTAGAAAACGTATTTACCAAAGCCGTTTTTACATTAATTTTTTTTAATTTATATTTTCAACATAAATATTTTTTGACAAAAAATATTTTTAATAAAAAACGGTTTTAGAAAAGTCGTTTTTACATTAATTTTTTTTAATTTATATTTTCAATATAAATATTTTTTGACCAAAAATATTTTTAATAAAAACTGTTTTACAAAAGTCGTTTTTACATTAATTTTTTTAATTTATATTTTCAACATAAATATTTTTTGACCATAAATATTTTTAATAAAAAACGGTTTTAAAAAAATCATTTTTACATTAATTTTTTTAATTTATATTTTCAACATAAATATTTTTTGACCAAAAATATTTTTAATAAAAAATGGTTTTAATATTTTTATTTTAATTATTTTTTCTCATGTGGGAAGGTTGGACACATCTAAAAAAGTAAAATGCATCTAAAAAAGTAAAAAAAAAATGCTTAAATTTTAAAACTATTCACTAAAAATAAAAAACTCAGTTTTTAAAAAACTTAATTCAGAAAACTTAAACCTAATGCTTGTTTAGTTTGTATCTCAAGATATAATTTTTGAGAAATTTTTTTAAAATTTTGTTTAGTTCAAATTTTTTGAATATTTATTTATTTATTTTTTAATGTGCACTATATTTCGGGGCTTTTCCCATATTAAGCCAATTTATCATCTTAATTCTCAAACACGTTATCATAGATCGTTTTGTCAAAAAATATTTATGTTGAAAATATAAATTTTAAAAAATTAATGTAAAAACGATCTTTCTAAAACCGTTTTTTATTAAAAACTTTTTTGGTCAAAAAATATTTATGTTGAAAATATAAATTATAAAAAATTAATATAAAAACAGTTTTATCAAAACAGTTTTTAATTAATTTAAAATTAATAAAAACCGATTTTTCTAAAATTATTTCCTATGTTCAAATTTTATTATTATTTTAATACTAAAACACGACTTTTCAAAAGCCATTTTCTAGAAAACAATATTTCTAAAACCGTTTACTTAGGCCAAGTTTGGCTACAAAGAAAAAAATGCACTTATTTTATCTTTTTATCTTTTTTGGGTCACATCAATCAACATCTCCTCTCTACTTTTTCTACACATAATACAAAAAAAAATTAAAAAGTGCACTTATTTAGTCTTCCCAAACTAGGCCTTAGTATGGAAATAAAATTAAAAACACACCCTAACGGGGACTCAAATATTCAAAATGTCCCAATCATGGAAATTGGCCCATCTCTCTCTCTCTCTCTCCCTCTCTCACACGAGTGCGCGACTGTTAGCAGGGCAGACGACGGTGTGGAGTGACGGCGTGCAGCGGCAGACGATAGCGACAACGTGAGACGGCATCGAGCAGCGGCAGGCGATAGCGTCGAGCGACGGCGAGCATCAAGCAGTGCACAAGTTTCTTGTATGCCAAGGCCATGTATCTGAATTGTGTTTTTGTTGACCTTGCAGGGCAGACAAATGTATGACGGCATCCTTCGGTTTTCAGGCTGATGTGAGAGCTCTACAAAAGGTATTGGCAGCTAGGAACTTGGTGAGGATTGGAAATTTTTAACTCTAGTAATTCTATTTTCACTTTTCTTATAAAAATAAATAATATGAAGTATGCTAAATTACTCAATGAAAATAAAATGTTAAATTTGGTGAGACCCATTTATTGGAGATATTACTAGGGATGGATTGAATTTGTTTTCCCTGGTTCTGAGCTATGGTTTGTTACTTGAGGTTTGAGGAAATGAAAGATGTGCTGGAAGTAATGCATCATTTTGGACACAGATCCATCAGCATCAACACAACAAGCAGATGAGCTGTCCTGGTAGAAAGTGTGAATTTTTTGGTGCAGTTTTTATCCCTCTATTTCATATTAACATTACATATTTCTTTGAAATACTACAGGTAAGGGTTGTGTCTTCACATATGATGTTGTTGGCTCCCATGAGAGGGTTGGATACAGTTCCCAAGGTTCTGGTTCTACACTCATCATGCCTTTTGTGGACAACCAACTGAAGTCTCCAAGCCCTCTCTTGTCACCTGCCCAGGTCTGGTTTTGGCTCTAATTGTTCATTCACAAATCTTTTTCCACAACTTTTTCTTTGTAGTGAAAATCATCTTCAGTGCCTTTTATATGCAGTGGCTGTGCTGTGGCTCCAAGATCTTCATCGCTTGATTCCTTCACTGAAACAAAAATTTTAAAATTCTTGGTTCGTAGACATCTTCCTTCCTAATCTGTGTATTATATTGTTTCCTGATTTTAACTTACCAAAAGAAGAAGAATAAAAAAAGGGGCAAGCCAGGCTCAATTGTTCTGTATACCCTCTTTTACTTATTAACCGTATCCAACTCTTGTTGCTTGAATAATATTCACAGGTTTAATCACGATAACATAGTTTCATGTTCACGTGATGGCAGCGCGATTATTTGGGTTCCAAGGTCACACAAATCTCATGTGAGATCTTTTTGGAGTGTTTACCGTTTTAGGCACTATGTATATGTTTGTGGAAACGCATTCTGTTTTTGTTAAAAAATTTGTTTCCTAGATGTTGTACTAGCTGATTGCTGTGAAGTTCAATATCCTTGGAATGGATTTATAAACATATATCATTATAGCTTTGGTTTCCTTTTCTGTCATAATCATTCAATCATTTCAGGGAAAAACTGTACGTTGGACATGAGCTTATCATCTCAAAGTTCCTCCTCCCCCTATGCCACCTCAACCTCTTCGAGGAGGCTCACGTCAGAGGTTTCTTCCAACTCCTTGGGGTGTTAATATGATTGTGTGGAGTTTGGATAATCTCTCTGTGCTTGCTGCATCATGGGTAATCCACTTCCTATGAATAATTTTTTCCCCATTTGATGGGTAATAAAGTATTTACTTGATATATGTACATAATATAACTTTTAACCTGCTAAAAACAATTGTAACCCTGCTCTTTGTTACCATTAGTGGTTGCTTTTGCTTAATATTTATCTATTTGGCCTGTCTTATATTCTGCTCCTATTGAGAGAACTTTAATAGCTCTAATTGTGTATCCTTCTTTATGTTGAAGTACGTGTGTGTCAGGATTCAAGAATGGGACCAAATATGCCATGTAACTTAAACCTGTCCCTATTGCATAAAATTAGGATAACAAGGCAATTTTGTACAACTATTCAGCTCATTTGAAATTGGTTGTCTATGTAGTCACATGTTGCTTCCTTGAATATTAATTGAAACGATTAGTACCCCCTTTGTTTTTGCTATAGTGGCCTAAAAAGGATACACTACAGGATAGCCATTAATGATGACCAGCACAAAAATTAAACAACAAAGAAAAGAGAGAAGCATGTAATTTTTTTTTTTTTTTAAAAAGAAGAAAGAAAGTCCAATTAGTACACATTAGTGTGTGTTTGGGAGGGGGAAAATTGGGTACAGACCTAACCTTTGGCATAGGTGTGTACACATTAATTTTATTTTTATTATAAAAAATTTAAACCATAAATTTGTCAATGGTTTGATCCTTAATAACCCTCCCAGATTTTGGAAGCTATAAAACTTTTTAGGGCTTCTCCGTCCTGATAGTTTTTCATGACATAGTTTTTGACTTGCTAATTTTTTGTCCTATGACTTATTTTCTTAACAAGTTTCAAATTTTATTTTTTTTTAAAATTTTCTTAGCAATGATTTCAGTTTGATAGGCTATGTGCTTGAATAATGCTTATTTATTCATGCTTCCTGTCTATTTCAAAACATTTTTTTTATGGTATGTGAAACCATTGCTGCTTCTCATAATATGGATCACTATTATTCGAATATCTAATTTGATATGCATAGATAGCACATGGCTCTCTGCTAGTGTAGATGATGGTTACCTGGAGGTTGTTTTCTATTTACTCTCTGCAGTTTTTAACCTTGTATTATGGATTTTGTCAAAGGGCAAAATCTTCTGTTGTTTCTCCCTTACGAATTGTTTGTTAGTGCCTTTTTAAACACAGATTGCAGAATATGTGTTTGGAATGCTAGTGATGGTAGCTTGGTACATTCCTTGACTGGTCAGAGTGGATCTGTAAGTGGTGTCTAACTTTTTGAATGATATTATGGTTGAAAGCATCTTTTTTAAAATTCTTTACTTAAGGATAGAATTGTATGTTATTTTCTACCATCGGGCTCTTTAGTTTAGCCTGCTAGTTAGATTGAATGTTATTTTCGAGACTCAAATTAATTTGGAATTTTTTTCTTAGAGATGTATTTTCATTTAATCTTTATCTGAAATGGCCTGGGGAAGGAAAGGTAACTGGGCTAAGCTTTTAGACCACTGGCTGAGAGCATATGGTTATGACCACGGCATCAAGGGCTCAAATTCCTCCTTGGCCAAGTGGCCTAAAAGGGGAGGACTTTTTCTTCTATGGGTTAAACAAATCCTGTTCAGGTAGTTTATGTGAGAATAGTATGTGTTAACCAATCTTTCAATTTTTTCAGAAGTTGATTAGGGTAGATATTGTTTTTTGATTCATTGTCTATTGAAAATCTTGATACTCAAATTTGGTTGCCCTTGACTAAGTTCATTTCTTGTAGAATGTTGTGAACTTGTGATTGCTTTTGATACTTTATTGTTCTTGACATGCTTGGTTATTTGATCAACGCTCTCTGCTCCATCCTGTTTTTTGTCATTTGAAGTAAAACTTTGATTTTTATTTTTCTATATTGTCTTACTATTTCAACCTTAACCCTTGGCAGACTTATGTTTTGTTTGTTCATCCTTTTAATCCCCGGATTGCCATGAGTGCTGGATATGATGGGAAAACCATAGTCTGGGATGTGATTTACTGCTTCTTTAATATATGTCATACCATTTATCAAAAAATATATGTGTTGTTATACCACCTAAAATGTGCTCCTAGTCCGGATATATGAAATCGGACGAATTAGCACAAAAAATATATATATTGTTATACCACCTAAAATTTGCTCATAGTTGTTGATTTTGGTGTTGATGCCCCAAAATCACCAAACGGCGTCGAATTAGCATGAAACTTGGCATACACGACCGCCTAGGTATGAGAGACTTGTGGGAGAAGACGGGATTCAAATTGGGTTCGGTTTGGGAGTTAAAGTCGGATTTCGGTCTAAACAAAATTATTTACTTAATTATCTTTGTAATTGTATAGTAGTTTGTTAGGTTTTTATTTTTGGCAACCCCGTTTGACAAAACTACTTTAAGTTGTATTTGTTTTCGCACTTTTTATTTCAATGAGGTTATGAGTGTTTAGATCTGAATCCAATCCGAATTGTGCCTTGCAGTGAAGTTTTGTGATGTTAATTTTTTCAAGATTGTCACTTCGTTGATTATGACGGGAATCAAGCTGCCCGGTCTGCTCGTGGGGGTCCAGGGGGCAGCGCCCCTTGGCGGGTCAGGGGCAGCGCCCAGGCGGGGTTGAAGGGCAGCGCCCTCGAAGCAAAATGCAAAATTGCATTCGAAGTTGCATGCCCGCCCTTGCTCACTCGAGCGAAGGCTGCGTCTGGCAAAAAACCTGAAAAGGATGATTTTATGCTTGAGCGCATGTTGTTTGGCTCGAGCCAAGCCACTTATGGAAAACACGCGTTTTTGGTTCCTCGCTCGAGCTAGAGAGTCTTCGCTCGAGCGAGCTTCGCAGTCCTAGATTTCTATAAGTATTTGTTTCAGTCCAAAACTAAGATTACTGCTCCAGATCTTCTTTTTGGTTATTAAGGTTTATATCTGAGGATATTTTACGAGTTTTCTTTGATTTTTGATTGAGTATTCAACTCATGGTTTTAGAAGTTTACATCAAAGGATTGTTTGTTTAATTCTATACAAAAGAGAGAGTTATTCTTTGGTGGATTCTGAAGAATACGAGCCTGAAGTTTTGGTAGATTCTGGAGTGGCTTATCGTCAAGACAATTCCGAGGTGAAGACGGGGTTGGAAGAGGTACATAGAGGTTGGTTCAATTCGGGCGTGGATTCGCTAGGTAATTGAGAATATACCTGTGTAATTCCTTTATATCTTCTTAGTGGATTGTTTTGTGGCTGTTGCCCGTGGTTTTTTTATCACAATTGGAGGTGTCCAATTGTGGTTTTTCCACGTAAAATCGTTGTATAGATTTGTCTTTATTGTTTGATTGGGATTGTTGTTTATTGCTTAAAATTGATACATAATCACAAATCAACATCTAAGGGATTTCTAGATTTTTCATAGTTAAATTTCTATCTTTTTTTGTAATTAACATATTAACACATAATTATATTGTCATTAATTATTTTTATTTTTTGTTTTCAGATATTTTCCGAGTTGAAGTTTGCTCTTGTGGAATGCATGCCTGTGAAGAATTCAATTAACTTTTATTTTTGTTACTCACGGAGAATGATGAAGAAATTTTTTGTTTTTGGTTTTATGTTATTTTGAATTGTGAACAACATTATGTATTTAAACATTATATATGTATTATGGAACATTATGTAGTAGGATAATTTTGCTTATGTATAGTTATGAATGCAAAAATATTTTTATTATGGAGAAATTGTTATTTCTATACTAAAATTTTTGTATTATTATGCAATTATTGGTTTCTTTTTCAATTATTTTTTATTTAATACAGGTAACTTTAATATTTTTAATAATTTTATTATTATTATTATTATTATTTTTTGCGACGGCACCACACTATCGCAAAAAACATTAAAACCAAAATGTTTTTTTTGGGGACATAGGTAATGTCGTCGCAAAAGAAATTGGCGACAGAGGTCATGCCGTTGCAATAAAAAACATTTTGCAATGGCATCTTTTGTCGTCTCAAATAAAACTTTTAGCGACGGTACAACAGTGCTGTCACAAAAGGTGTCAGTTTTTTACATATTACAAGCGACAGTAAAATGCCGTCGCAAAAGGCAACATTTCCTATCGCAAAAAAAAGGTTTTAGCAATACCTTCTGTTGGGACCCCCCATTTGTCGTTGCTAAAAGTTTTTTGAGACAACATTAGCAGTATTAGCGACGGCATTTTGCTGTCGCAAAAAACTGCAATTTTGTTTTGAGGCCCATAGTGTGTAAATACTAAAATAAATAAATATAAACATATATTTTAATAAAAAAATAAACTATAAATACACTATTTGAGATTTGCTTAAAATACGAAATGTCACTTGTAGTCTTATAAATTATAAATACTCCTTGCCATAATTTTTTATTTAATAGAAAAAATAAAATTTTAAAATATTCTTCCATACAACAAATAAAATTATCATAATTGTTAATTGAATTATATTTATTATATAATTAATAACTGTTAATTGACTTAATAATTTATTAATAAAATATGTCATTTGTTATTGACTTAATAATTTATTAATAAAATATGTCATTTGTTATGCAATTATAAATTTGAATAAGTCGGATATAATTTCCAAAATCACAGGAGCACTTCGTATTTTAAGAAAATCTCAAAGGATAAAAGAGATGATAATATCATTTTTTTCATAAATACGATGAACAAATTACTAATGAAAAAGGGTTTACCTATTAAGTAAATTAAAATCTGGCTTATTTATATGAAGACCCCTTAATTATTAACAAATATCATTTTATTTTACTCATCCATAAACTTGTATATATTGACCTCTCGACTATGAAAATTGTACAAATATACCCCTTTTGAAAGGGATTTGCAGGGGATGAAAGTGATATATGTTTATAGTTTAGAAGATCAAAATGTATGAGTTCATAAATGAGGGGAGTAAAGTGATATTTGCTAATAGTTGAGGGAGTCTTGATGTAAATTACCCTTAAAACCTCAAGGAAGACTGGTGTAATTTTGTCAAAAGTATGAGGCTAACTGTATTTTCTTCAAATTTCTACGAAAGTGAGTGTAATTTACCATTTTTTTTTTAATATTTTTATTTGTTTAAACATTTGTAATAGATGCTATAATAGTATGTTTAGTATGATAGAATAGAATGATATGGGAATGTAATGAGAATGAAAACAAAATATAAGGTTGAATGAAACGGAATACTCATTCCTATTTCTGTGTTTGGGTGCTAATACGAAATGACGTAAGAATAGAATGACAATTCTTATTATAATGTTTAATTATACTTATTAAACTAATGGAATGAAATGATGTTTTTTAATTTTTTTTATAACACTAGTAACAATCAATCTAAATTTCATATATAGTTTTAATAGTTGTGAAAGTAGTGGTATGAGTAATAATGGTGATGATAATGACAACAACATTAACGGAGGTTAGTGTAATATTATGCCAAAATAGAAGGTTACATTTTTTTTATATGACTAACAAATTACTAATAAAAAATGGCTTAAGTGTTATGTGAATTAAAATATCAATGGAGGTCAATGTAATTATACCAGAAGTATGGGATTAACTATATATGTATATATATTTTCAAATCTCGAGTGAGGTGAGTTAATTTATCCAAAAGAGTTAATAAAATTTTGAAATAGGATTAGAGTATTCAAATTTGTTTAGCAAATAAAGATTTTAATTAAATTTAATAAAAAGCTATTGGAACATTTTATATCAAATAAAAATTTTAACCAAGATAAATAGAAAAAGGGTTAATTATTTGATTCCTACTCTTTTAAGTTTAGTTTAATTTATTCATTCTATCTAAATTTTTGTTAATTTTTTCTCTGTGTATATCTTAGAAAATTGATTAATTTCACAAAATTATTAATTTTAATCTTCAATTTAGATGGAAGAACCAAATTGAAATTTTAAAAAATTGACAAGTATCTCAAGGTTATTAATTTTTAATCTTTAATTTAAATGGAATGATCAAATTAAAATTAAGAAGATATTTGGGATGATTTAAATAAGTATACTTTTTGAATTTTTAGAAAAAAAATGTGTAAAGTAGTGTAATGCCCCAACAATAATAACACCATTAAAATACATCAACCAACGCTCATTATCAAAAAAGAGTATGTCACCAATCTTTGTATTACATGGTTCATGAGGTTCATACAAAATAATCCTACACGCGGGTATACATTCAATGATCCCTAATACATGAATCTATAGTATGTAGGATACTCAATCCAAAAATAAATAATTAAATGCCCTCAAGGGCTTACAGATTCCAAAGCTTAAGCCCGGTTACACAAAAGATGGTTTCTTGAACCCATACACAGTTAGTCCTTGGCTTGCAAAAATACAATCACAACAAAAGATAGAGCTTTGTGCTCTCATTACGAACTTCCACGCCCTAGTTTGGCGGGTTTACCATGGCTTTTCCTACACCAAAATCCCATAGGGGTGAGCATAAAGCCCAGTAGAAAATTCTTAACAAAGTATATACATTTTATACAAGTTCCAAGGAATGAAATGCATGTGCCATGTTATCCTCTCTTGAAAGAAAATCATATTTCCTCATCTTTAAAAAAAAAGGACTTAATGCTCAATGATGCCATGATATCTTCAACAATTTCAAAGTTTAATAATTTATTTCAAGGGGTAGTAAATACGACTCAGGTAATCTCTAAGTTGGTGTCTGTAAGTAGGCATAACTAGCATTATCAAAACCCTACCGGTTGCTAACCGGAAGAGAAGTGGTACTTCCTCCGCGCG